CACACACACACACACAAAATACTCCAGCCATCAGCTGGTGTGATGATTGTTGTGCCTAGTGCCTGCTTGACAAAAACCTTGACTCAACAATTAGTGGTTTACAGCTTTGCCTTGGACAACAGGATGTGCTCAAGCATTCGACCTCAAATCACTCAGTGTTAAAATCAGAAGCTCGCTCTCTCTCTCACATGGGAGATGATGTGTGTGGATTTCTGACGCCTCACTGGGAGGAGGAATGGAGGGGTGAGAGGGACATGAGCTGAGAAAAAGGACTGGAGGGGAGGGGACGTAGAAAGAGAGAGCGGGAGATAGAGGGAGACAGAGAGACAGTAATGGACAAAGAGGCAGTGAAAGATGGAGGATTCCTGTTTTTAAAATCCAGCAGTTAGTGAAGGAAAACACAAGTAAGCAATTTAATGGTCGATATAATCAGGAGAAATGTAAGACGTAAGGAAGCAGATGACCAATTGGGCACATGGCAGCATTGAATCCGGTCCTCTGGGAATAAATCTTTTGAGAATATATCCTTATAGCCAACAAATTAGTTTCTTACATTTGACACTATATAAGGTGATCTCCTTCAGTTTAGACTTACAACCAGGCCAAAACAGGACAAACAAGACAGTGACTATAGAGGAAGGGGCAGCATTTAGAGGCTTCAACCAGAGGAGGTCACTGTCCTTCATTGGCTTCCTCAAACCAGAAAAGGATAGAGAATTAAGTTAAAATAACACTTTCCTCATATAAATTTGTTGTGATTGCCGTAACCTGATTATAGGATAATAGAGGCCAAAAAGACAAATTGTGAATACAATATTCAATTTTGAACTCTGTGGTATCATTTGGATCGTGGTTTGTATCCATAACTTGATCGTATTATTTTCTACACATCTCTACACTCTGACGTCTGCCTTCGTGTGATGGACAAGCTACTCTCAGAAAAATGTAACATGAGATGAATGATCTGTCCTTCAGCCATCCCTTACACTGGCTGTCTCCACTAGACTGCCACCAGTCAGGAGGAGAGTGCGCTGTGTTGAAATCATTGGCCCAGTACCTCTTCCTCTGAGTTGCAGTACTTACTCATTGCCAGCAGAGAGCACTCACATGTTAGAGTGTGCCCACTCACAGTGCACTCACAGTTGCCTCTCACTGTTTGCCCCCTACTGAGGGCTATATCCTGCTACCATTCAGGCCTGTTAGAGTACATCTAAACGGAGCCTAAACAATGTTTCTGTGGGGTCATAGCTGGGATGGGAGTAGGAGTTGATGGGAATGATGAGGTGATGGGTCTCCCTTTACCTTTAGACAAGCACCGCTGCACAAAAGTGCTATTGTGCTATTAGCATTTGTGTGTGGGTGGCAGGAGCTTAAAAAAAGCCAGGGTAAATAAAAGCAGTTTTCTAGCTATCGGTGTGTGCAAGGCTGTATTAAATGCTTGGTAAGCATTATTTCCTCTGACAGTCCTCACATCCCCTAATGTGACTGTAGGATTATTAGTCAAATCTGTCTTCTGTGGCTCCAAGACACATATTCTAGTCTTACTTGGCAATTACTTTAAACTGAAGTTTAAAAGGACAGTATGTTCCATATGCTTTTCTAAAGCCTATAGGCACTATTTGATATTTTTTGTCAATATATAACTACAAAACTGGACGTATTTTTATAAAATGGACACTAGTGTAAACCTAGTTCAGATGTAGGATTGCAGCCATTTATATTTCTACATTTATGTGCTGCTTTAACTGCAGTACATTAAATTGTTTTATACAGCATGTTTTTTCAGCTGAAGGTCTTTCTTGACACAACTGAAATATACAGTATTCTCAACTGACCACACACTTGTATTTGTCAGAAATATGCAGTAGTAGTTGTTGCTTATTTGTTCCACAATATTCCTAAAGATATTGCAAATGATTTGATAAAGTGGAACCATGATGCTGCTCTCAGGGGGCAAACAAAGCAAAATGTCACAAAGAACAGAAAAATGAAGAGTGCTACACCGGATCTAAAAAAGTAGAGACTAGTCTCAAAAGGGCTTATAAGTTTCAATGGATTTCAGTAAGCTGAGTAATCATTGCGATATTCTTAAAGGAACACTTCTCTACTCTATTCCTGACCAATTGTACCAATTTTATCCTTGTGTGCATACAATGTGCCTGATGTATGCTCTAGCATGATTGTCCTGGTTTGTATGAAACCAATGTATTTGCAGATTATATATATATATATTACTGCATTACTAGATAGCATAAGTTGTATTTTTCCAGCCTGATCTGAAAATGGTTTTAAAAAATCTAAACAGGGAGCTTTAACTTAGCTCATAGAAAGCCAGTGTGGTGTAAACAGATAAAATAAGACAAAGGTTTGATGAAGGAAATACACTGACAACACTAAAAATATCAGCATTTTCCTCCTAGCTCCCATTACGTAATGTGTATGAAGCTCATCGTACAATTTTAGAGGTCGTTGTGGACCATGCATAGCAGACACAAAAACTGTTAAAACATGAGATAAACAACAATATGAAACAATTGCAAAGGCCAGAGAAAGAGAATGAGCGAGGCATTGGAAAAAGAGAGGACATTACAATAGTTATAATTTGCATCATTTTACACATTACATTCACCTCTGTCTGCAGAGCTTGTGAAACAGTGGCCAGCCCAGTCTTACATATTCAGATCATTGCCTCAATTAAGGGAAACTCAGCAGAAGATGAACTGGCATAAATGTTTATGGAAACGGAATATTAGATTGGTGGGGTCAGATCCAGACTGGGCTCTCTATGGTAATAGCCCTGTCTTGAAATCAGTCCTGTCCCTCATTGAAGTGGAACAGCTGATAGACCATTCCCATCCCGGGGGGGAAGTTCAAGAAAAGAAAAGCCTAATTTACTCTCTGTAACAGCTATTATTGTGGCAAAGGAGAGGAAGTAATTGTATAGATTATTGCTGTATTTTTGCTGCTGCAGAGTCTGGTCGAGATCTGTTTCCTAACAGTTGTAAATGGATGCACTGGTCCTCGTGGTTTAGTTGTGCTTCACCGTACGTTACCTCTTATGCAGTTTGCTCAATGTGGATAGCAAGTGTATGTTCTTTTCATATTTTTACAAATATTTTTTACACATATACATATTTATTCCGCACCATAGCCTGTCCAAAGATCTGTCAACATATTATGACTTTTGTGCTATAGATTTGACTAAAAAATTGTTAATGGCACATTTTATTTACTTTATTAAAAAATCATGTTGACGTGTTAAGTGTATATTGAAGCACTTAGATTCTTATATCCTGTTTTACCTCCAGTGGTACAATCACAAAATCTAGAACACAATTATGATATTATTATCTTTCATATAAATAATTTTGTATACAGCCATGTGTCTGTCTAGTATGGTCTCTCATTATTCTGGGAAGTAAAAAAAGCTCACATTTGCTGTTCCTAGCATACCATAGTCTAGGGAGATACTGCAAACCAAAAACAGTACCTATCATAATTTTCTACTGAAAATAAGCTACACGGAAAGAAATTACCATCTGCACTACTCTCCAATCGCCAAAATCACAAGATTTGATTATGCATTTACTAACATACATCATCTATTTCAACAAAACAGAACACCCTCATATGCAGCGCACCTTCAGTTTGCAAGCAGATAGGTTGATTATCTGTCATTGTGTCTTTGCCTTCTTTTCTTTTTTTTTCTGGCACCGCTTTTCTTACTCAGCCTCTGCTTTTGATTTGCTAGCATTTTAGGCACCTGAGGTTCAATATGCTGTCTGAACAGATGCGAGAATCATCCACATGTTCTGTAGGTAGTCCTATCAGCATATGAATATAAAGGTTATATTCTAATGATAATACTGGCTGTATGGTATATTGCTTTTAGCACGAAGCAATTTGTTCACAGTTAGGAATGGGTGTTGCTTCCTTTTTCTCTCATTCTGCCCTGAGTGGTGCAAAGCAGCAATATATAGTTTAGGAGATAGCAATTGGAACCCAGCCAGAGTAATTTGGTCCTTATACTCAATGTACAGTCACATGTGCCAAGACTTAGCTGAGGGAGAGATGAGGGTGATTGAGAGGATGGCAATAAAAGAGGTCATGGGTTTGAATTGATGCAGATTGAGGAACATACCACACAACTGTTTTTTTGTTTTGTTTTGCAAGATCTCATCTGCTTAAAACTCTGAGTCTTTTTTTCTTCCTGTTTCCAAGAAAAGCGTGAGCAGCTCCGATATAGAAGGTCTAAACAAATAAGCCGTATGGATATGTATGCTAACCTGAGAGATGATGAGGCTATATTGTGGGGTTTTGAATAGGCTCTGTGATGATGTAAATTAAAGAGGAGGCCTTTAAAAGTGGAAGGGGGGCCTTATTGCATATGCATTGAGGTAGATCAAAGCCTTTTCGGAGGTCAGACATTTACATAGCGATATCACCAGAGCTATGGGAACCTGGCAACCCTGTCTTTGGACTATTTTTGAATAAAGAGGGCCTTGTGGAAGTCTTTTGGCACAATTAGAACAGGAGTCAAGGAAGTTCCTTCTGCTCCACTGTCTGCATGCCTTTTTCCTTTTTAGCTATTTTTGGTGAGAAATTGCAGCTCTTTTTCAGAGAAAGCCTACGGTAATAACTTCACAAGGCTAATAACTGTCTTTGTGTTTCCAGGAAAGAGAAGACTTACTCAAAGGCTCTTTCTGCTCTACAGTCAAAAGGTGAGTGTAAACAAAGTCATTTCAGTTGTGTGTAAGGACACAGTGTCAAAAAAAGGTTAATTACACCAAACAGATCACCATAAAGAAGTTCATGCGTTAACATGTATGAAATTATTGTAAATTATGAGCTTCACAATAACACCCACTGTTTGATTAAATTTCTCTGTAAATGCAGCTATGCCTTTTGAGGATGTACAAATGGGAAAAATGACCTTGAAGCCAAATCCAGGTTACTGAAGCTTAGATTGATGTTGTCAGCAAGCACTACCTAATCCTCGAATGAATAACTAAAACATTCCTGTTTCAGGGAAATATGTGTTCTTGCGTCACTGATCAAACCTTAAACAAAAGCCCAAGGAAATGTTGGGCAGTTTATAATTTGCTCTAAAATAACATTGTTGAATCTAATGGGGAACAGCCAGATATACAATAAAGGCACCTTATTGTGACATTTATGATCTTTCAAAAAAGTCAAAATACATCCAGATAGTGTCTAGATCCGGAGGAGGCAGATTGCAGTTGACCACTGGTGTTGAAGTACATCTCACTTCCTCTTAAGCAGCAAGTTTCCCATCACTCTGTAGACAGATCTAGTAATATTCTTTAGATCTGAGCTGCTGAATAAATTAACTATACAGACCTCTGAATATGGCTTCCACAGTTGGATCCCAATTTGTGTAATTTTGGGTGCCACTATCGCATTAGTATTTAAATGTTTACAGCTATGATCAGATCACCCCAGATGGATTTAACAAGTTTGACTGTATAAAGTGTTGAGTGTTAAGATTTTCATGGTGAAATCAAACTCAAGGTAAGCTACAGTGCATTCAAACCCTGCAATGCATATAAAGAAAGTGAAGAATTGACTGGATAAAAAAATGATGTATACAATGGAAAAGGTTACCCCTCATGTGACACATGGAAAGGAAAACATTCTGCTCTAATAATAATCGTATTTCTTTTCTCTGTACCTATTTTGTATAGCTTTCTGGGGGGACTCAGATGACAGCAATTCAGAGATTGAAGCCGCCTTGCGTCCTCAACCTTTCAACACAAACATCGATGACACTGATGACTTCTGTGACTGATATTTCCCCCGCAGATATTTTTTAAATGCACTACATTATATCACTGCAAAAATTTCAGGCAGTTTGGCTCACAGTAATTCACCTCCTGACCATTATTTTAGTGGTCTGCATTGTAAATCATATGCACACTGTATCGTAAAAACAAATAATAAAGTTGACAGCTCTCACGCTGGGTAAAGTATGTGAAGAGTTGTCCAACACTCTGATGTTAACCCTGCTTCAGTCTCTTTATCTGAACAACTCTCCCAGCTCATAATAACAGCTCGAAATAGATTAAACTGATCTTTTAAAGCGATTTGTTTGCACTAGGCTGAAAATCATGCATTTTGAATGCCGCAAGCATCTCCGAGTGCTCTACCTCCAGCATGCTCGAGTGTAATGATGTGAGTCACCTGTGAAATGACAAAGCACAATGGCCACTCTGCACGCTGCTGCGCGACCTGTGAACCTGCTGAAGAGGCCCATCTCCCAGGGCACAAAGTGTTATAGCGCTAACAAACTCAGAATATTTAGAACCTCCAACAAACACTCTACACATATTTCCACAGCTGCTTCTTTAACAACAATGGTCATGCTACAGAAATACAAAGATGCATGTCTAAATTCTTCTGTATTGTGCAAATAAGGAGAAGCAGAATTGTTGCCGGAAGCACACAATAGTCTTCTGCAATTTATGATTTTGCAGCACGTTGAGTGTTCTGTATCTATTAATAACTCGGAGCTACTGTGTGGGAGGATACATTCCTAAGTTTACATTTATAGTTCATTATGTCTGTAGTGTAAATTTCCAAAACTGCCATTCTGGGATGTGGTAAAAGCCCCTGGCATTCAGTGTCAGCAGGATTCCATTAGTCAGCTTTAGGTGACTTTACATGCCTGAACCTTTTAAAGTAGGACTCCACATTCATTACCAATAATGGCTTCAGACAGCCCTGACCCACCACAGAAAAGGGACTGTGGCAGAATAATTTGGAGTTTGCTAAAAGGCTCCCTAACATAATATCCATGTTAAGGAGCATGTCAACAGATACTTGTGTGCGACAGATAGCTCATGGTGGAAGTGGAGTTATATTGTACTAATGTGTACTAACACAATAACATTTTTAAAAAGAACTTCTCTTATTTTGTGCCAGAGACGATGATGATGATATTCAGCTCATTCTATTTAGAGCGTGTGTAGTCAGACTGTCATGGGAGGAAGGTTTTATCTTGCAGGGGTGTTATCCACAGTGACTGACTCAATTACACTATCTGCTTTGCCACATTACCTGATCTGTCATGTTCAGGCTGACATTAGACAGAGCTTAGTTCTTACAACAGTGGTTTAGTGAAGGTGATTCAGGTGATTTATTTTGACTGAATAGATGGTGTCTCAAGATGTAGATTGTCTCAAGAATGAGGGAGGATGGGGAACAAATATTTTGTTATGATTGTTCTATAAGACCACTTAAAAAACACTAAAAAATAATTATTCGGTCCAAATTGAGAGCATTTTTCTTAATAATAGCAAATGCTTTCTAGTTTTAAAGAACATTGGAATCTGAGGGACGTCATCTTGAGTAACCTTTTAAAACATGCCATACCTACACCATTTGGATGATTCAGACTCTACACTAGTCTAAGTGTCACAACCCCTGAGGTGTAATATTACTGGTGACACTGGTGGAAATGGGCCCTGAAAATTAGCAGGTTAATAGGTTGTAGCATCAGCTTGCAGTACAAAGATTCCCAATATTAATTATTATATTATTAGAATATTAATAATAGTACAGCAGATCCTATCACAGTACTTGTACAGCAATTAATACACATACACAAAGTTATTATAATATAGTATGATTGCAGAGATTGAGATTTTTGTAAAGGTTGAAATGATTGGAGGACTAATTAGAACTTTACGGGTTTCTTGTGTGTTTTAATACAATGAAAATTCAAGGTTTTGTCTCTATCAGATGTGAAGGTATCACAAATTTAGACTGAGTTGTCCTTGCAAGCATGTGTCCCTTTCAGACGATAATAAGCGCAGCAACCTAAACGGGACATCTGTGAGAAGCAATGTCAGACTTAAATTCAGATTCTCTTTTCTTAAAGAGCTTTTTTTATTGTGAAACATTTCTGTCAAATATACTGCATGTAAGCAGCTACATGGGCTCGAAGAGAAAACCTTTTCTTCATTGTCGTCTTCAGAATTTAATAGATAACAATTCAGAATGATGTTTTGGATCACTGATGGCTCATTGCTGAGGCAGTATGTCTAGCTTTTCATGTAGTGTTCTGTTACTCATTTAGCCTTCAATAGCAGTTGAGAAATGAGTAAACATAACAATAACATGCACAACAACCGTGTCTGCTGGTGACACGTGATCACATCTCATGCTATGACCCATTCTTTATGCACCCATAGAGCTCCACATCTGTGTAACAATGGTCAAGGTCTGGCAGTATGCAGTTTTGTTAAACATACAAATACAATATCTGTAATAGTAACCTGTTGGCTGTTTGACAACACCGCAGACAACATTTCAGCACTGATATAACAGGAAAACGGTACAGCATGTTGAGCTTATCACATGAACTAGTGAATTGCACAAAGAAAAAACTGTTTAGTGCATTCACGTATTTGTGATGAACTGTTCATGTTCTCGTGTCATTCATTTACTAGATTTCCCACGATTAGCGTCGTAGCATTGTGAGTCCATTATTCAAAACATGTCTTGTGTTACGGTCCACTATGAAATGAGAAATGGTGTCTTTGATGTTGAAGTTTGATTGTCTAACAGTGCAGCAAAAGGTTTAGTTTTGAAAAGTTGATTTTGATGCACTCACACTAGAGCTGAAAGAAAAGAATCGATTAGTCGGTCGACAGAAAATTAATCTGCAGTCATTTTGATAATCTGTCATTTGAGTAATTTTTAAAGTATGAATTATGAAAATTCACAGGTTCCAGCTTCTCAA